AGTGTATGTCTCTTCCAAGGTCCCAAGGTATTTGGTACTCTGTGCCCTCCTTTGAGGGCCTAGACTGTCTGACTGCCTATATTTTCTAACTAACTCAGCTGCCTGTAACAGTACTGGCAAAAATAAACAAAAACAACAGACCTGAGGATAATGGTGACAGAACTGTGGGGGATCGGTGGCAGCTGAAAAGATAATAAGTATGAAATATAAATGACCTTTATTTTGAGAATGTGGGGAGAGACACCCTGATCCCCTGGGGCGTGGCATTTCCCCCCAGGGTCGGCGATCTCTCCGTGGAACACGTGGAGTGGAGGCCTTGTAAGTAGCCTTGGTTTGGGGTGGAACCTAAGGGCGCATTAAGGATGCACAGGTAGCCCATTGGCCTTTGTTTGGCGCCAGAGGTAAATTCCTAGGGGTGGTGGAGATGGAGCTTCTTGGTTCCGCCTGAGGCTTTACTGGGTACAGTGTCCTGTCTGGGCCAAAACTCTTTCAAATGAAACAGACTAGAAGATGCAGAAACAACTCTAAACACACTCAGCTACCTTATCTTTGAGAATGGAGTCAGACCCCTTCACTGGGAGAAAGATAGCCTCGTTAGCTGGGGATTTAGCTCAGTGGCATAAGCGCCTGCCTGGCAAGCAAGAAGTCATGAGTTTGATCCCCAGTACCAAAAAAAACAAAAAACAAACAAACAAACAAAAAACCCTCTTTAATAAATGATAGTGGGAAAAAATGATTTTCCACATGGAGACAATTAAAACTAGACCTATATCCTTCACTGTGCCCTGAACTAAAATTGAAATGGAGCAAAGATACAAATATTAAATAATAGAGTATTCTGTCACAATATAGAAGCAAAAGTACAAAATGAACAGGCTTATTGAGTTGAAGACTTGGAAAGGAGCACACAACCCATGGCAGCAGGGCTGTCTCCTTTGACCGGAATATGGGGTATAGGACATGTGTAATCTTTGACTGGGGGTGGTACTTAGGACGGGCATTGATAATGCACAAGGAGCTGATTGGAATTCTCTGTGCATGGGAACAGGAAGGGGAGTTGCAATTAGGACTGAGGAAGAAGCAGGAAGTAGTAGGCTTTCTCACGTTAGCCTTCCGCCTTTAGACCACTGCCATAACTGTATGGTAATTTATTCTAGGGCAAAACTCTTTCACTAAACGCAAAATCTGCTGGAAGATAGATTAGGTAGAATATTGCAGACATACATGTAGGCAAAGACTATGAGAAAACCCATATCACACAGGAAATATTACAAAAAATCAACAATTGGGACCTCATCTTATTAAAAAGGTTTTGCATAGGGGCTGGGGATTTAGCTCAGCGGCATAAGTGCCTGCCTTGCAAGCAGGCAGTCGTGAGTTCGATCTCCGGTACAGATAAAAAAGGAAAAAGACAAAAAAAAAAAAAAAAACTTTTGCATAGCAAAAGAAACCACCAACAAAGTGAAGAGACAACCCACAGAGTGGGGAAAAGTCTTACCTAGTTGTTCCTTAGACAAAGGGCTAAGACAAAGAACATATACATGAAGTGGGTTCCTAAACAATATAGGAATCCAAGCAGCCAAACTGATAAATTTGGAATTCAATTAGCTGAGTTCAGCAACCACTCACATGGATCCATTTCAGAGTCTCACCAACTGGCTGCAAACTGGAAAATTACAAAACTTTTAAACAGAGAACTACAAAAATGCTGTTAGAAACAATTTGCTAGAATCTTACATTAATTTTTGGTTGACACCTGTATCCTGCTTCTTTTGTTGAGCAGGTTAATTTTTCTCCTGTGGGTACAGTTCATTCTGTCTTTCTCGTGGGACTTATTCCCTGAGTAATTTTCCATTTTCCTGGGTCAAATATAGGGCACTAGTTAAATGCAGGGCTCAAGATGGTGTCAGTTATGTCAAGCTACAACAATACAGAATTGAAAAAAATTTAAAGACCGGGCCAGGAACATAGATCAGTGGTACAGTGCCTACTTGGGAAAATGAGGTTTTGAGTTCAATTTCTGGTACCAAAAAGAAAAAAAAAATTTGAAGTCCCAACCCCAAAATGGGCATCTGAAATGATATATACTTTTCAGATGAAGAAGTAGAAACAGCAGATAAATATATGAAAAATGTTCAACATCAGTGGTCATTTGAGAGATGCAAATTAAAACTACACTTAAATTTCATCTCACTCCAAAGAAAATGGCTATTATCAAGAAATCAACCAATATAAAGGATGATGGGGCTGTGGTAAAAAACAAAAAACCTTTCTTCACTTTTGGTGGGAGTGTAGACTGGTGCAACCACTGTGGAAATCACAGTGGAGATTTCTCAAAAATCTAAAACTAAAAAAACTGAAAGTAAAGGTCCCATTTGACCCAATTATTTCCCTTTTTGGCATCTTCCTGAATTTAAAACATCATACCACAAAGATACAGGAGCACCCATGTTTATAGTAGCACAGTTTTTAAAAGCTAAATCTCAGAAACAACTCAAATGCCCATCAACCAATGAATGGATAAAGAAGATGTGGAATTTTTACACAGTAGAATACAACTCTGTCATAAAGAAGGATACATTTGAGACTTCCTTATCGGAGACCCCTAAAGTGAGTGCCAATCTCCTGTCAGGTATCACAGTCCACAGGGAAAAGAAAGAGCAGGAGACAAAATGGCAGTGCCACTGGGATCTGGGATGACCGTTTGTTAACAGGGAACAGAGTGAGAAAAATCTTAGCCGGCTGTTCTTCAAACAAAGGAGTAGTATCTAGAACAAATAAAGAATTGAAAAAAATCGGGGGAATAAAAGGCTATGAGAGAGCCAGAACACCAGCATTTATTGATTGAGGAGGGAATTATTGGATGACTCAGAAGGTGGTGGTGATTTTGAACTAAGGAGGATCTTGCCCTGGGGCATCTTTAGTTTTTATAGTCTTAGTCTTAGTAGATGGGAGAGTATGGCCCATCCCTAATGAGCTAATGAGAAATTCTCAAAAGGTGGTACCAATAATCCCAAACCTCCTTTACCCTTTAGGGAAGTATGTAAAACTAATCATTGTGTGTTTGTGTGCTCCAACAATTTCTCAAGGATGCACCTTGAGACCATACTCTTAAGTGAAATAAATTGGACATACCTATTTAAATACTGTATTATTTCACTGGTATTGTTACAGGCAGCTCAGTTAGTTAGAAATATAGGGAGTCAGACTGGGGATTTAGTTCAGCGACATAAGTGCCTATGTGGCAAGTGTGAGATCACTCACAAGTTCAATCCCTGGTATCAAAAAAAAAAAAAAAAAAAAAAGTGTGTTGTTTAAAAAAAAGAAATATAGGGGGTCAGACAGCACTGAGCCCTCAAAGGAGCCAGTTCAGAAGCCCACATACCCTGCAACCTTCGAGGAGACAGACACCTTCTGCTGTGGGTCAGATCTCAAAACAAAGGGCAAAACATGGGGCTGAGGATTTAGGTCAGGTGGCATAAGCGCCTGCCTTGCAAGCGCGGTCGTGAGTTTGATCCCTGGTACCGATAAAAAAAAGGGCAAAACAAATGTACCCACACCCTAAGTATAAACATCAGGGACTGATATTCTAAATAGGTATGTGAAAGAGTTTTGGCCCAGACAGGACACTCTAGCAGGTGAAGCCTTAGAGGTGGAACCAAGGAGCTCCTATCTCCCCCACCGCTAGGAATTTACCTGTGACTCCATCTTCCCCGTCCCTAGGAATTTACCTATGGCGCCAAACAAAGACCAATGGGCTACTGGAGCATCCCTAATGCCCCCTTAGGTTCCACCCCAAACCGAGGCTACTTATATACCTTCCATGCCACATGTCCGCCAGAGAGAAAGCCAGACTCCAGCGGCTAGGGGTGTTTTGGTTTTCTCCCTCCTTGTTCTTAGAATAAAGGCCTCTTTTGTTTTATGCTTCTCATCTTTTGGATATAATCTTATCAGTATGGATCAACTTGAGCAAGCCAGGAGCCACCATACCAAGCCCCTACAGAAGGAGTCACTGTTCTTTTAAGCGTGCCTGCTTGCTTTGTAACTCACTTCCCCATTTGTCTCTGATTTGGTTAGTTTTACCTGAACAATTAATCTTACTGGTTGACCATAGTTCTGTCCCACCTCTTGCCCACCTTGCGAGTTTCCATGTTTTCTCCACTTTGCACCCATCTGACCTTGTGGTTTTACTCTATAAAAGTCCCTATAATAAAAGACAGCCTTTGGCAACCCACTTGGAAGCCCTTCTTTATCCCAGACAGAAGCTTTCTTTCCCTTAATATATTCTGCTCTTAACCTGCATTATTCCTAAAATTCATTCTTCAATTTTAAAGAACACGAAGTCATACTGGGACATTTAGCAGGTTGGGAGTTTCATTCCCCTATATCAGTATGAGAAACTGAAAGTATAGATAAGAACCAAAATGTATAAAATATATTGAGACATGGGAAGGAAATGTTTATTTATGAAAGGAAACAAGGGTGGAGGGAAAGGATAAGGAAAAAAAAGAGAAGAAAAATGGAAACAAAACTTTTGTAAATAAGGAAGGAAAGATGGGCTGGAAGGAGGGACAGGGAATGGGAAAAAAAGAAGATGCAAGATATATCATGTATGGGTACCATTCCCTATGATAACATTATGTATATCTAAATACACCAATAAAAAAAAGAAGGGCTGGGGATTTAGCTCAGCAGCATAAGCGCCTGCCTTGCGAGCAGGCAGTCGTGAGTTCGATCCCTGGTACCGATCAAAAGGAAAAGAGAGAAAAAAAAAGACCACCAGAAGCCTCCTTCCTGCAGGCAGCCAGTGTGGGCAGAGAGAGCCAGAAAGACCCACCTCTGCATCCCTGGTACCGATCAAAAGGAAAAGACAAAAAAAAAAGAGAAAAAAAAAAGACCACCAGAAGCCTCCTTCCTGCAGGCAGCCAGTGTGGGCAGAGATAGCCAGAAAGACCCACCTCTGCCTGCCGGGTGCTCCACCAGAAGTCTCCTTCCTATAGGCAGCCAACAGGAGCAGGGATATGCTGTCAAGTAAGCCCAATGCACCTGTGGACTGCCATTGGAGACCCTTGGTTCCTTCACGAAAGCCATCATCCATTCACTGGGAGAGTGAACATACCTCTATGTGCCTGCCACCACCGCAGGAGTCCCAGTATAGACACACAGGCTGAGAGAAGCAGCCCCACCTTCACACACACCTGGTCACTGGGGAAGCCCCAGTGTAGCTGCACAGGTCTAGAGAAGTTCACCCCACACCCTGCTACCTCCCTGTAAATGTGGAATCAATGGACCCCAGGTGCCTGTCCCATTCCCCCACACTGCAGAGGGGCTGCCAAAGTGGAAAGTACCTAGGGCCCCACAACCAGCTTGTTGAGAGGAACTCAGGAGAACATCATGATGAAGGAGCAAAAGGCAATCTCAGACCTCCAGCCCACACAGAACAAGCCTGGGAGATACAGTCATGGAAGAAAATGGAAGTCACCCACCTGAAATCTGAGAGGATAGCAACTAAAGTAAGAAAACAATTTTATGAGATTGTAAAAGCAGTCAAATCAGAAATAATGTCTCAGGTAAAAGAAGAAATTACAAACATAATGAAAGAATTGCTCAGCCTGTTTAAAGAAGACATAGATAAAAAAGACGAGCATAGGAAAATGATGGAAACCTTGAATGAACAATATAGAAAGAAATTACAATGCATGAAACAGATTCAAAGAGATATTCAGGAAATTAAAAAGTCAGTTGAAAGCTAGCAAAACTGCTTGAAAGTGACTGAAGATAGACTTTCAAACCTTGAAGATTGATGGACCCTGCAAAACTATCTTTCAAAATTGATGGAAAAATAAGATACTTCTGTGATAAAGAACAACTGAAGGGATTCATGACCACCATACCAACTCTACATAGAGTGCTAAAAGATGTCCTAGAGGGAGATAAAGATCATCTTAGTTCCAGGAACAGCAGCAGAGGAGGATTGCCAAATGGGACAGGCAATTGAATGAATGGGCATAGTGGAAGGCCAACAGCAGAAAGATAGCATGGCAGAGGCAAACCAATGTATGCTAGTTGTAACTATTAATGTAGAAGGCCTCAGGTCAACAATAAAAAGACACACAGGGAGCGTGGATCAAGAAACAAGATCCAAGGGCTAAGGATTTAGCTCAGCAGCATAAGCACCTGTCTGACTAGTACTAACTAGGTCATGAGGGTGATCCCTGGTACCAAAAATAACAAAACAAAACAGCAACAACAAAAAACCAAGATCGATCAATATACTATATACAAGAAACACATTTAACTGGAAAGGAAATTCATAGACTGAAAATCAAAGGAAAGAAAGCCATTGTTCTGTGTAACAAGAGACAAAAAAAAGAAGGGTAACTTGCCCATCAACTGCAGAATGGAAAAGAAACATGATATTTTCATACAATAGAAAGCTACATAGCTATCAAGTAGAATAATCTCGAGGTTCTTGTAGGTAAATGGATGCAACTGGAGATCATATTCATGGGTGAAACAGTATGAACTCATACCAGTGAACCCTAGCATAAAAACAGAAGGAGTTAGTGGGGGGCCAAAAAGCAAAATAGTCATTGTAAAAATGATAGGAAACTCCTGGGAAGGAAAAAGGTGGTAACTACTGTTAATGTCTTATTGTCTTGTCTTGATTTCTTGTATTGTTTTCATAATTTTGTTAGGCTTGGCTTTGTTCTGTGTTGTTTTGTTAGATTTTACTTTGTCTGCTGGTACGAGCAGCTATTTTGAACATAATTGGATATATTATTATAAACATGGTTGGTTTCTTAATATCCTGTTTTGAAGTCTTGTAATGCTTTCATTCGTTTAATTGGTTTTATTGTTTTGTTTTATTTTACTATGTATGATGGCATAAACAGCTATTTTGAAGAAAACAAGACATTATGGTAGCCATTGCTGATTTACTATCATCTTGTTTTGCAGTCCTATCATGCTTTTTTATTCTTTTGTTTTGATTGGTTCTATTCTCTTGTTTTATTTAATTTTATTATATGTGATAGTATGGACAACCTTTTTGAAGAAAATGAAATATTACAGTAACCATTATTCATTTCCTGTTATCTGGTTTTGAAGTCCTGTAATGCTTTCATTCTTCTGATTGGTTTTATACTATTTTGTTATGTTTGATATTATTGTGTGTGAAGGTATGGCTAACTATTTTGAAAAAAACAAGAGACATTTTGATAACCACTGTTGGTGTCCTGTTGTCTTGTTTTGAAGTCCTGTGCTGCTTGCATTGTTCTGTTCTGATTTGCTTCATTCTGTTTTATTTCCTTTAAAATAAAAAAAAAAAAATGAAACAAAGCTGGGCATGGAGGCACTCGGGAGGCTAAGGCAGGAGGACTACCATGGGTTTGAGACCAGCCTGGATTACACAGTGAGTTCAAGTCCAGACTGAACTACCTAGTGAGACCCTGTCTCAAAAAAAAAAAAAAAAAAAAAAAAAAAAAAAAAATCTCAACAAAACACACATGCCCCAGAAAACTATCTCTGGGAGCATGGGGCCCTCTTCTGTTTCAAAGGAAATTTGACACATCACATTTCTTTGAGATAGTTTTACTGTGGCTTACAAAGCAGTGCTAAGAGACAATCATTTCAGGATTCTTAGAGACATTTTTTTCTTCTTTTTCCTTTTTTAGTGGTACTCGAGAAGGCACCCATGGCCTTCTCATTCAGCTGCATCCTTGGCTCTTTTTAAAATTTTTTTTTTTATCGATACTGGGATCGAACTCAAGACCATGTGCTTGCAAGGCAGGCATTTATGCTGCTGAGCTAAATCCCCAACCCCTTTTTCTTTAATTTTTGAGACAGGGTTTCTCTTAGTGAGTTAGATTAGGTTAGATTTAAACTTGTCATCTTCCTCCCTCAGCCACCCAGACTGCTGGGGTTACAAGGCACATGCTCAGTTCCTGTACTTCTTTCAAAGTTCAACCTTAGGATTCCTCCCTCTCAGACAATGGCCACCAGATAATCAGTTCCACTATGCTGAGACCAGTGTGTTGGGCAAACTCATGCCTGCCTGCGGACAGGTCCATGGGAGAGACCTGACCAGTCCCAGCCTAGTGGCAGAGGCATAAGTGAACAGATAAGGTGTCCCAGATGCTCTACTCCAGTGTAGCAGAGCCCCCTAGCCAAATCTTGCCTCACTTTTGTGATAGCTCAGACCCCAGAATAAAATCCAAGGAAACAAGAAATTAAAATTTAGGGAGTAAAGGCTTTATTTTAGGCCAGGCCTGGCAACGCAGTCTCCGGGAGCCAATATGAAGGACTGCGTGCCTGACAGCTAAAGGGCAGGGCTTTTATCTTGTAAAACCACAAACAGCTGCTGGTCTCACAATGCAAGGAGGGGGTGGGTTTGTGGTGCACTACAGAACAGGAAAACGGCAATTACATTTCTTGGGAAGAGCAAGGTTCAGGTAAGGGTTGGGCTAACAAGCAAGTTTCCCTGCAAACCAGCAAGTTTAGATTAGGAAGATATCCTATTTTCCTCAGCAGAGAATAGAGAAGTCTAGCAGCAATTAACAACCTTTGTTTCCCTTAGGAGAGGACAGGGAAGTCTCACAGGAATTTACAAATCTTTACAGAGGAGAGCATTGATTAACATATCAATTAGGTCACCCAGAGGGAGAAGGGAAACATATATACATTATGGCCACATTACAGGTATTTTGCTATAATACAAATATAACGAAGCTATTTTTTCTAGAGTACAACAGCTTTCAAGATAAATGATAATGCAGGTGTTTGGTAGATGACCACCTGTGGCTGAAACAGCCTGAACCACTCATACAACTGCAGTCACTTGGGTCCTCAACAAGGCTGGGATTCCAGGATTGCTATGCTCCCACAGGATGGCTGTGCTCCCATTGGCTGATGTCCTCTTCTCTGGCTCTCTCTCTTCTCTTTGCTTTCTCTCTACAAGGTAATGAGATGTTTTTACAAGGCAGCACAGGGATTCTATAGCTGGGCTAGGCCTGCAACTACCATAGCATCTCATGGCAGTTCTGCAACTCCCCGGGCTAGCAGGGTTCCATAGGAGAGGACAGAGTTATCTCGGCTGGGAGGAGCAGCACAAAGGGATGAAACAAGAGATTGAAGATGTCATCGAAACCCAATCAGCAGGCACAGGAAGGAGCTCCTGCAGTCCAGAGGCTAAAGAAACAGAGCTATACTAATTGTCTATTTCCTGTATTTCATGATGCTGTGAGATCCTGGAGTGGTGCTAACTCTGGAGAGACCACCTCTCCTGGGTCACAGGTTTCTAGAGAGCACAAACAGCTGGGCTGTGACGATTTTCCTGCACAAATCAGCCCTTGTTGAGCCTGCAGCTCCACCGACCTCCTTGAGCTGACTCTCACTCCAGTGCATCTCTTCCCTGCCCTAAGCCACATATACCACAGGCCTGAGCCTGCTGAGATTGTTTACCTGCTCAATTTGCTCAGTGTTCCCTGCCTTGCACTTTCTTTTGAAAGCCCTGGGCTGCACCTTCCCTCAGTTCCCTGACAGGGCTTTCCCTGTAGCCTGATTGGCACCCCTGCTCTTGGGAAACTTTCTCCTCATCAAATTTTGCTTGAGCAAAGCCTGGGAAAGGGCTAGGAGGTTGTGGGTCACCTCTGTGGATTCTGAAGTCACTAAGATGGTCTACAGGAGTGGAATTGTTGAGGAGGCCAGGGAGTGGGTAGCTGAAGCCACCAGGAACCGAGAGGACTGTCCAGGGTTTGGCAGAGACAAGGTAGATGATGGGGCAGCATCTTGGAAATGTGAGGGAGCACTGACAGCTGGAGGCTTTCAGGATGCAGTGTGGTAGAAGTAGCCCTAGCCTGTGTCTGGACCCAGGGGAAGGGCTGGGTGAGAAAACAGCCATGTTGCAGGGCACTGTGAAGCTGGGCTTTCTTGGAGTAAGAAGCAGAATGAATCATTCCCAGAAGAGACCAAAGGCAGGTGTGATGGTTGAGCGATTAGGTCAGTTTGAGACTTAGTTGAAGAGAATCGGCTCAGAAATTTTACACCCTAGAATGGCTCATTGCCTGGATGGTATAAAGGGGGAAGTCAGGAAGGACAGAAGATTGGCTTCTTTTCTTTGGAGGAGCTCTAGTCTTCCCCTTCAGCTTGGACATCATCTCCCAGCTTCCACTTTGGATCCTACAACCTTCCATCACAGACCCATCAGCCTCCTGATACAGACATACCCAGCCACTACAGTGAGCTCCAGACTTTGGACTGAATCCTTCAGTCTACAGGCTTCCTCATCTGACTCTGTGGGTGGCCATTGTGAGCCAATCTTGTAATTTCATGTGTATACCCTGTGTTACAGCTGTTTTTCTGGTAAAACACTGAGTGATACGATAGGGTCTCTGTGGAGCTGATGGGGCCCAGAGCAGTAGAGCACAGGTGGGAGATGGAGGAAGCGCAAACTTCTGCCAACTTGGCATCCAGGTGCAGCCCAGCCTCCCTCTTCCCACAGGGACTGCTAGCTCTGCTTGGGATTCTCCATGTGCAGAGTGGCTGGTGGCACTTACCCACCAGGAACACGGGATCTGGAGGAGACTTAGAGGGTCTTCTCATGGGGATGCATCCCCCAGGGTTCCTCCCCTTCTGGAGGAGTCCTTGCTCTGTTAGTTGAAAATAATCAGATTAAATTTTCAGGTGGTGACCTGAACTCTGACACCACCCAGCCCTGGCTTCAGCTGCAGGCTGCAAACCAGTGCGCTGACTTCCTTCCACAGCTAAGATGAGCTAGTCAGTGGATGCCCCACTGCTTCCCACCTTCTCTATACTTGTTGTGCCTCTGGATACAGATGTGTCTTGATTTACATCTGGGTCACATCCTAATCCAAGAATGACAGTGGAGCTGGGCGTGGTGACCCATTCCTGTAATCTGTACACTGGGAGGCAAAGGCAGGAGGCTAGGGAACATAGGAACTCAGTGAGATGTTGTCTCAAAAATAAAAAGAACTGGGGATGAGAACTCCCAGCACTACAAAAATAAACAATTTTAAAGGTGACAGCAGAGGGGCTGGGGATTTAGCTCAGCGGCATAAGCGCCTGCCTTGCAAGCAGGCAGTCATGAGTTCGATCCCTGGTACCGATAAAAAGGAAAAAGACCAAAAAAAAAAAAAAAAAAAAAAAAAAAAAAAAGTGACAGCGGAGAATGTCTCAGTGGAGAATGCATTTAATGGCCCGAAGCTACCGAGCATGGATGCTGATCTAGCCTCAGATGTGCTCAGAACGCTCACACTGGCCCAGATCTGGGACATTGCCCAACAATCACCTTTGCAAAGGTGCCAAACGTCTTAATCTATTTAATATGTCCTGAAAATAAAGAGTCAAGTACTCGCAGCTGGGCATGGTGGCGCAAATCCCAGCACTTTGGCAGGGTGATGCAGGAGGATCTCAATTTTGAGCCTAGACAATTTAGTGAGATGCTGACTCAAACAAAACAAAAAGAACAAAAACAAAATCCCAAATTCAAAAGCAAACTGGGCTGTAGCTTAGTGCTAAGGTCCTGGGTTCGACCCTCCCATTCCGGAAAAGATCATCTGCACAAATTCCTCTTGGTCTTAAGAGTCATTCGCAGCCCCATCCCTGCTGACGGACGCCAGGTCTTGTGGACGCACGCAGCTCGCACATTCGTCGCGCTCGCGGCACCCACGTCTCTAGTTGCCCGGGATGCACCCTGTGGGCGCGGGGCGCGGGGGAGCTGGACCTGCTGAGGGCGGCGCGTGCCCAGCAGAAGTGAGCCGCTCGAGTCACCAGCGCACCAGTCTCGCGTCCCCCAAGCCGCGTTCACCTGCTGTAGCTCGGGTCCTGGCGCTAGAGGCGGGTCTTCGGCCCGCTGCGCGAGAGCAGTAGGCGGGCCCCGGCGCCAGGGGCGGGTCTGGGCTCCTGGCGCAGGCTGAGGGGGCAGAGCCTAGCCAGAGAGGCGGGGCTCCTGGGTCAGAGGAGGGCCTTGAGAGGGTCCTCCGCCTGGGGCGGGGCGTGGGTCTGGAGGTTAGCAAGTTAACCGGTACTGGGGCGTAGGACCGGGTGTTGGGTTGGGGGCGGGGCCACGTGCTGTGGGCAGGACCCCGGTCCGCCATTGGGGTCAGGGCTGGGTCCTGGACTGGGGGCGTGCCCTGGGTTTGGCCGCGGGCTGTCCAAAGGACCCCATGCGCCACCGGGGGTGGGGTCGGGTCCCGGGCTGGGGGCGTGTCCTGGGTTTGGGGGCGGCGACACGCCCTCGGGGCGGGGCCAAGTCCTCTGAGCTGTCCCGGGCGGGCGTCTGTTCCCCGCGCCGGTGGCCGCGGCATGGGGCGGGTGCAGCTTTTCGAGATCCGCCTGCGCCTGGGTCGCGTCGTCTACTGTCCCGGGGAGCCGCTGGCCGGGGTCGTGTGCGTGCGCCTGGCGGCTCCACTGCCCTTCCGAGGTGGGCGCTGGGCACTTTTGGACGGGCGGTGGGGTGGGCTCCGAAGCCGAGGTTTTCTGGTCCCCCGGGCCTGCGGGGGCTCCCGGCTACTGGAGCGCGCACACGCTTGAGGCATCGAGCGCCGCAGCTCCGCCGGGGTGGGAGGCCAACGGCGGCCGGGGCGGGGTCGGCGGCCCGGTGGCCCGTTCTTCCGCATCTGTTCCTTCCTGTCCTTTCTGTCTTAGGCGGCCCGATCCCGGGCAGGGGCCTAGCGTCCGTCCAGTTTGTCGAGGCCACTCTGTCCCTGGACACCGCAGGCCTTTGATTCTCTTATCCAGGTGTTCAGGGTCCGCTGCACCCACACCTGCTGAGCTCTCAGGGAAACCCAGCCCACACTGGGTTCCAGGGCTCCTCGATCTGCAGGCTGCTAGGTGAACTCCTCCTCTATCCCGCGTGCCAAAGACAGACTTGGCCCAGTGCTACGGGTCTCCAGCAGCTCTCTGGGGCAACTACCTGCATTCTGCCTAAGGCTGGCTCTTGCTGCCCAAGTGATTGACCTGGCTGGGCACAGGAGCTGAGCCTGAGCCTCTGCTCATGCAGACCTCAGGGACTTTGAGGCTGGGGATCAGGTTGCTGTGATAGCCGCTGATAGGGCCTCCGCAGGTGTGAGCCTCCTCTCCGCATGGAGTATGGCTGCTTTCCTGAATGGAACCCTAGGTAAGACTTGATAGCTATGATGGGCAATGTGGTGGTTCTACCTCTGAGTGTGAGGCTGTTATGGCTGTCCCAGTGGGTGCATCTGTGCCTTGGCCTACTGTGAGAGCCACCTGGCTGCTTAGTCCAAACCACAACTGTCCACTTCTCTCTGGACTTGACCCCAGGGCTCACGTTGTTGGCAGCATGCCCTTCTGGTGCTGAAGATGGAAGCCATCTTCATCCTCCTTTCATTTGTCCCGCTGCAGTGATTCCCTGTGACCCTCAACCTCATCCAGGCTGCCAGGGTCTAGAGGGAAGAAGCTGGGTTATATCGTGGACCAGTCTCCCAAATGAGTGTACAGCAAAGTCTTAATGAGACAAGCAGTATGATTTTAGGGCTCCAAGAGTACCAAAACCCTGTAACGAAGTTTGAGATTCTGGGGCTGAAACAAAGAGCTTCTAAGGTGGCACATATTTATTAGGTCTTCAGAAAACAGAAATGGGATACTGAGCATAGGGCAGGATCTAAGCAGGATCTAGAGAGTCATCTCAAGGACTTCTCCAGGTGGTATTCTTTGCTAATTTAAAAGAACTGTCTTATCTCCCTCCCGTGATAACATTTGTGCTGCCATAACATTTGTGCTGCGGGGGAGTGAGATGCCTGATGCCTGTGGCTACACTTTCTGCCTTGTTAATTGGGGTTGGAGCCAGGTGTGGCCTTATCTTGCCCTTTGGGGAGTCTCTTTGTTTTCAGGGCAGCAGGGAAGCCACAGCCCTGCACTCCTACATGTGTGTTCAATTTCCAGCATCAACAAGCTCCCAACTTGGTTGTAGACATCTCTGTCAGCTCTGCCCTTTTAGGGTCTTTCTCCTTTATCCCCAGTTGGAGTTTGGGTTTGAGTAGGGGCAGTTGTGGCCACTGCAGGGGGCACTGCAGTGAGAGGACAAGAAGTTGGGCAAGAAGAGGAGTGAGAATGAGGAGATGGGATGTGAGAATGAGGAGCAGCAACTCCATCCTTGCCGAGAGGAGCCTGATACAGGTCATTTGCAAATGAGCTAGGGGACATGAGGCACAGGACAGAGACCCTATGTGGAGGTTGTTTCCAGGCTTGTGTATATTCTTGTTCCCTCCCTGGCTTGGCTTGGGGTGCTTCTAGCTTCTGTGTGACAGGTGGAGAGTGGGTGAATAGATAGCTGACCCTGAGGAGGGTGAGGGACCCCCCACCCTGCTGATCCCAGCTGTACAGATGTCCAAAGGTGAGGGCATTGACTGGGCCAGGTGGACACGTGTGCAGGTGGTGCCCTGCCCTGGGACTTAGGGTGTTAAAGGCCATGATTCTTTTTTTTTTTAAATCAGTAAGGGGGATTGAACTTACCACCGCCTGCTTGCAAGGCAGGTGCTTATGCCGCTGAGCTAAATCCCCAGCCCCTATGATTCTTTTTTCCTTCATTCAAAAGATACTTGCTGAGCTCCTTCTAGGGCCAGTAGGTACAACAGGCAGGTCCCTCCATGCCCCAGATGGACATCAGAGTCTTGTTCTCTGAATGCCTGTGCCATGAGTAACAGTGACAGTCAATACCTGGACATGAGGACACTGCTGCCTAAGAGTTGATGTGGAAGGAAGAATGTTTTCTGGAGCCTATGCAGGACTGGGTGGGGCGGCCCCACATTGCTATGGCTCCCTGAGCCCTGGTCACAGATCAGGTGCAATTCTCCCCACTTCCCATGACTGACTCCTTTCCTCTTTATCCTCCCAGGAGGGAGCATTCTTGTTATTCTCAGGATGCAGTCCAGAAGCAGAACAGTACACGGGGGGGGGGGGGGGGGGCGGCACAAAAGCTGGGCTTTGAAACTAGGAGAGGAGTATGTGGGGGTCTTCAGGTCAGTGTCCACATACCAGGAAGAGGGCTGCTGGAAGGTCAGAGTGTAGTATAAGAAAAAATTTCTAGAAGTCACCAAGAAACTCAGCTCTCATGGTAACTTTGCTAAGAGAAGTAGAGCAGCCCAGCTTCCAATAACTGACACCTGTCAGCTTAGTGCCTGCCCTTGTCAGGCTGCTGTGCATGGTATGTCTGGAGCACTGTTCAGTATGTAGTGTTTTGTGGCCTCTTCTTGGTGCTATGGTTGGAGGCCTTACCATAGCACCATGTACTGTCCCATGGCAGTATCACAGGACACATGCTGTGGTGTTGCCATGCTCATCTGAAGAGTAGCCTAGCTAGGCAATGGTCACCAACTTGCCCATTCCTGCAGCTTGTGCTGGCCACTGAGAGAAAAAGGTGAGCCACTCATCCCATGTGCTGTTTCCAGCAGCAAGGAGACCCCTCCCAATCTATCCATGGGTACCACTGACTTCTTCCTGGGCAGAACTGTAATCTGTGATCTGCCTAATCCAGGGATCTGGGAAACTAGAAAGCTAGCTACTGCTAAGGGCCTTAACCAGTGAGAACTGGCTCCCTAGAAAATTCTCCCAGCCTGACCTGCTACTTGATGCAAGGCATAGCAGTATCCTCAGGTGTTTTGGTGAGGAGGCAGCAGGTAGCTCCTGGCAAGCCCTATCCTTCTGTTGTCCCTTCTGAGAGAGTTGGGTATTGGAAGTCCTCTGCAGGAGCCCTGTTATGGTTTTGGTGTAGGAAAGATCATAGCCCACAGGGCAGAATCAGCTGGCCTCATGTTCCTTTACCTGAATTCTGGGGGGCCTAGGCTGGGCATCTGATGGTTTCTGTGTGGCCTAAGTTGACTGCTGTTGCTAGCACCCATGTGAGGCTCCTGGTGAGTGTGGAAGTCAGAGAGTTGCTGTGTGTCCTGCAAGTGAAGCCACAGCAGGTCCTCCCTGAACCATCTTATAGCTGATGAGGGTAAGGAGTATCTGTTTTCCCATTTCCCCAACATGTGTCAAAGTACTTAATATTTACCAGTCTGATTGGTTACAGTGGTAAATAGGGCCTTTGCTGATAACCTTTCCAATTATACACTGCTATGTACAAGCCACAACAAATGGCAAGGGTTTATGTAGCTCAGTGGCAGAGCACTTGCCAGCATATGTGAGACCTGGGGTTCAAATCCCAGCACTATCAAAAAAAAATCAAGTAACCATTTTGTTTTGGAGAGTTAGACATTTGAACAGTGGAGGGCAGGAGGACAATGGAGGATATCTTCAGCTTAGTGCCAACAACTGGCATCTGATGGCTGACCCGTGGTCAGCACCCAGGCCTATAGGGGAACATACCCCTTCCAGCATTCCTGGTGAGTGCCAGCATCCTTAGGGCTACCAGAGTAGGGGGACATGGCCTCTCCATTAGGGAGTTTTTTCTGTGCCTGTCTCAGTGTCCACGATGACTTCTCTGACCCAGGGCAGGAATGGCTGACTCTGGCTTGGGAGGGCCTGCAGAAGGAGCAGGGCCCAAGTGGGGCTCAAGGAAGACTGAGGGTGAAGAGCAGGACAGTGGTGTGGGAAGCAGGGACTCCCTTTGGGAGGCACAGGGGCCCGACAGCCATGGATCAGGAGGTGTGTGTGTGTGTGTGTGTGTGTGTGTGTGTGTGTAGGGAACCACTTGGGGCTGAGGGTAAACAAGGGTTCCTCAGAGGAAGCTGAGGCACCTTGGGTGGTCAGCAGCACCGCAGGTGGGCTGATCCCTGGGTACTGGGCTCATGTATTGCTCCTGCCTGGTGGCTTTGTCAGAAAGGTATCAGAGGCTGAGTCACCTTTCCCTCACATGACTCTGGTCAGGTTTGGGAGAGAGACCAGGGAGAGGGGGTTGGTGTTATAGGGTGCCCATCCCTGGCTCTCACCTGATATCAGCTTGGGTCTTCTGCTGTGGTGGCATTCCTTGGGGTTGGCCCTTACTTGTGACCTGCTTCGGTTATTCCTGGTCATATGCCATGGCTGCCTACCCATATGAGCTCGGGACTGGGCAGCTCTGGGGACTCAGGAACTTGAGTTCTGCCTCCAATGATCTGGGCACCCCTGTGTTAAAGGAGAATGAGCAGTCTTGTGGCTGAAAGTCACCTGCTGTGCAGCAGGCCCAGGAAGTCAGGGCTGTCCTCTGAGGTGCCAGTAGAGGACCTGCTTGGGCAGGTTTGACTGCATTCCTGCAGCTGATAGCTGGCAGTTAGTTTCCTGGAGCTCTCAAGGGGCACCTCCCACTTAGCTGACAATAGGAAGATAGAACACCCCAAGCATTTCCTGGGGGCTGTTTTCAGAGGTC